TATTTTTTCCTTTTCTGTCACCTTGCATCACAATTTCTGAATTCATTTTCTTTAAAACTTCCTAATTGCTCACATCTATGAAGAGATTGTCCAGCATTCACTGCCATATAGAGGGTCATTTCAGTTTAGCACTCCTTTTCTGTTTCTTAATACTTTGCTTAGCTTCTCTAAAGCATCTTTCACTATTCCAATATGATTTCGGTATCGCATCTTCTGTCCCATTAAAACTGGTACTGAACATTCCCTGATGATGTGATAAAAATTTTAAGTCTGAAAACACAGAAATTTCCATATTGCAATGTAAAATAATTTTAATAAAAATATTCTACTCTATGTTGTATTGAGCACTTTTTAAAAAAGTAAATACCAGAGAACTCTGGATTTTAAATCTGTTCTTTCTCTTCATTTGAAGATTATATATATATATATATATATATATAGTGTATATTTCAGCAGCAATTTTTCATTAATGCATGTTTCATTAAATAATATAGACAGGTTTTGTCTATTTATTTCAAGTTCCTTTCATATTGTCTGATAAGCTTAATCACATTATTGTTGAAAGACGAAAGGAAAACACCATATTGATACGTGTTTAAATCCAATCTAAGCTTTCGGCTTACATAAGCCATTATCAAAGATGACAATTTCAATAAATCAAACAACACATGGACAAAACAACAATGATAGTCCACCCTTGCTGCATGAAAAATTTCAAAGTAACGACAAACCCGTGTATATGAGACGTGGAAGCGAAAATCGCGTCGCAGCTCATGATATCACACATGACGATGTGAAAGTGAAAAATGAGAATTATTACATATGGGAATCCGTTGGTATAAACCAATGGCTTCTGTTATAAATTATAGGCATTTAAGAATATTTGTGGAGATTTTGTAGTTTATTTTGTTCAGGTTAGGTTGTTTTATGTATGTAGCTTCAATAATTTTTAGTTTTTGTTTATTGTTTTCATGTGTAAGTATAGTTGTGTTTTTCAACAAGGATTTTTTCAGAATTGAGTACACAGGCATATATATATATATATATATATATATATATATATATATATATATATATATATATATATATATATATACATATATATATATACACATATATATATATACACATATATATATATATATAAAAAAATGCTGTTATACAATATGGTTTTACTATATGGTTCATAAATGTCTTCTTTTTTCCAATGATGTTATGACCAATCCAAAAAAGAATGTAAAACAGGGTGAATCTCAGTGTTTGTTAACTGAAAACTGTTTCACTAGAGAAATATTTGCGGTAAAAATATGGATGAACTATCACAGAATAATTAAATTAAGAGCAACTTAGGGAATCAGAACAATAAGGACAATAGTCCACGTATAAATAATAAATAATAACTCCACAACCAGAAATTTGACATATTTCAATATCTGGCTTCAGAAGAAATTACCAGAAATAGAAAAGTTATGTTTCAATTTCTCTTAAATGACATCAATATTTCAAGCATTTAACAGATAGTATGGCAAAGACATATGACATCTATAGAACAAATAATTAATACATACATCAACATTAATGTTATAAGATATATGACATATTTGACAGAGTGGGAGGCATATTCAGCATTTGATAATTTTGCAGCAATATATGATTAAAGGTTTTACGCAGTTTTAATCAACATTTCTTTTCATGGGTAGCCATAAGGGATTGTAAATGTAGGACTACCTTACACTTAAGTAAGATCATAACAATAATATTTATTAAGAATTTATTACAGGAAATATCAAGTTTTACAGAAATATTGTCGTCAATTATGTATTTATTTAAATAAAAATAATATCAGTTTTGATGCTAGATTGGATGTGTTGTCAGATATTTTTCATTTTCCCCTTTGTTATTGACAGCATTTTAGAATACTTTGGCTGCAATAAGTTTCCTAAGTTGAACAAACAGGAGCTATTTTGTTTACACTTTGTTACCTCTTTTCCGTTGTTGCTTTTAGATCATTTTTATCCAGTCACTTTCATGGGCAATAGCAAAATTCTGAAATTTAGAATGATCTTATTCCATTTAGAAAATAAAGCCTGTATAAAGGAATATTTTAAATTAATGTAAAATGCTTTTGGCAAAGGACTCAATGATTTCATTGTAATTATGTAACAATAACATAATGTACACTATTTACATTATTTGGACTATTGCCCTCATCTTTGTCGGCATATTTATTACAATGTTTCAGCCTTCTTCAGGTGGTTGGAATGTCAAACTGAACCCTTTATTTTGCTCACTGGGGTAGACTGTTCTAGTTCCACATTCCATGTCTAATGGATGTCAGTCTTCAGTTATTTCCTCTTAATTACCCTTCCCAAGTTCTCTACTGCCTTAACCACGTATTGAACTCACACTCTTTGGTTCCTGTCACTGGATCTAACTAATGCCTTTATCCACTGTGCCACGTGTCCTTGGGGACATTTGTGTATGAATTTCTGGGTATTATAAACTTAACCATTTTTTAAGGCCAAAACATTGTAATAAATATGGCGACAAAGATGAAGAAAATAGTCCGAATAATGTAAATCATATACATAATACCTCATTTCAGAAATATAGACAAATAACATAGTGATATTCTGCAGACAAATCTACGCTTCTGTTACCTCATCTTGCTGCATGGTTATGAACTACAAACCTAAAATCAGCTTGAAATATTGCATAATCAGATCTGATTTTTTGTAAAATACTTGAATATGAGATAATGAATAATTTGAAGTGAAAAAAGCAATTTTGTTGAATACACCCCTCCTCTTCCTCCACCGAATGCATCATATAAATGAGTGGCCACTCATTTGTGAGTACACCTGGTTGCTGGGGAGGATAGCCATCCCTGTTTCAGACACCTGCTCGGGAATATTTGTGTTCATTCCCCACTGATAGAACCTACCTGGTATTTATATTGTCACTATACTGGGTGGGCCTCACTTACAGCATCTAAGACAGAGTGCATCTTCTGGGGTGTGATCAACAGTTTGAACAAGGCCAGTATACTCAAACCCTCAGTCGCAATGACTTGTGACTTTGAACTATTTGTTGACAGTTGTGCTAGCACAATCTATCAAATGTCCATCTCGAGGCTCGGGTCAACCCATGGTCCAGTTTACAGACATTTTTTCAAAGGTGCCGCATGTGAGGATCGCTTCCCCCATCTGAACGCATCAAGAAGTCACCTTCTTGATGTTGAGATGCAAAACCAGGTCTCATGGTCAGAAAAACAAATGTTCTAAACTGTCAGACACACACTCATTAGCATAAAATATACTTGTTGTCTATACAACCAATTAAGAAAAAAACAAAGACTTTAAAAATTGAAACATAACTTTATATTATTTTTCCTTCCAAAATTTCTAATTAAGCTAAATAAATTGCAAAACACGTTTCCTGCTTATTCTTCATTTAATCAGATATGTAAGACATTAAAAAAAATTGAAAATTTTCTTGATGTAAAGTAATACAGAAAAGCTAGCATTGAAAATTATTCATATAATATATATATATATATATATATATATATATATATATATATATATATATATATATATATATATATATATATATTCAAACATATATGGTCAAATATAACAGACAACGAATGTCTATAATGTTTGATCATGAACTGTTCTAAGCTTCATATAGTGGCATTAATTTTGGAAGAAAATAAAGAAAAAAAAACTGTCCAAAATTTGGATATTTTTTTATGCTGTTCCTTGATCTAAGCTTTCGGCTCACACAAAATACATAAGTGGTTATACAGACAATGCAAGAGAGATGGACAGTTTTTGTCTATATTTTCTCCCAAAACTAAAGTCACTATATGAGGCTTAGTACAGTTCATGATCAAACATAATAGACATTCATTGTCTGTTATATTTAACAATATACGTTTTATACATATATCATTTCACTTAAAGCAAGGCAATAATGCCACTAAGATGCAAGAAGTTATTAAGGGAATACATGTGAATTCCCTCGGAAAGTAAAACTACGAGTGATTTGACCTTAGTAATAGAAGAAAAAGTTACTCCCAAACAAAACAACAGCATCTAACAGAGCAAGAGAAGAAAAACACCTTATCTCTTACATCTGGATTTCATAAAAATTGGTTTACAACAGATTGCCGGTGTTGCAACCCTGGTTTGGAAATCTCAGTTCTAAGGTCTGATAGTCAAATAATTAAGGGTAGATCAAAGTGGATTTATGGTAGGTATACAAAGTTCAAATGTAGATCAGTAATTAAGAACAATGTGACATCGGTAAGATGAAAGATTCATCTACAGTAAAAAATGAGCCTCTTTTAACACAGACAAAATGTGACCATTTATGCAAAATACATGTAAATAAAAATAATCCAATCACGGCAGGTGTTTCTCCGGTTACACCTCACTCTACCAGAAAACGCTGGAAGTTACAATTACCTTTTTCTGACAAATAAGGCTTTAGTGAGGAGAAAGGACAATAAAAGAACAGGTTTCAGAGAAGCAAAATATAATGATTGTTATTGCATTTAAGCTTTTGAAGATTCTGTGTGGCAGAGAAGAAAGAAACCTAAAAAGAGTTCCACAGGCAAGAAGTGCAAGTAAAGAAACTATTAGAATAGAATAGACAGTTGCATCTAACTAGTTCAACAGTAAAATGGTGAAACCTAGTTGCAAATGCTGGTCTAAAAAGTCGAATAAAAAAAGCAGTACCATTTTTGACAATGAATAACCCAGAATGGGTTGAAATGTTAAATCCTCAAAGCTTACACGCTTTCTAATGATGTAAGACTTTTATATCATTTCTATAGGAGAAAATAAAAGTAAATAATCTTCAGAGTTCTTCATATAGGAGGAGAAGAAACAGATTTTGTCTGAATGAGGCTAATTTACAAAGGAAAATTACAAGAATTCAGACAAACTGGAGAACCACAAGAAAATTTCAGCTTAGAGTCAACACGGTTATAGTCATGACCTGTCCTTTGCCAGGGTTGCTATAACGACTTTATTAAGAAGGGATGGTGGCATCTGAAAACTGACTGCATCCCTTGCAAAACTAGATGAGTATTTATCGGACAGGTGAATGAGAACAAGTCTTTCAACATCAGAAAAAAGGTGCGCATGGTCGATTATCTCGGAAAGGTGTGTGTGACCTCGTTCACGAGCTTTGCGCACAATCCCCGGGGTTACATTCTCCAGATATGTGGCTTCCAAGATGAGAACTCGAACTTTAAGTAGGTCAGCAGGTGGGTTGTTCAAGAAAAGCTCAAAGGTTGTATCACCTAAGATGGAAGAGAAATAAAGCAAATATAGTGAATTTGAAAACACACACACAGATATATATATGTATATAGGGAGAAAAAAATAATAATGCGTTTTCTTCTTCCTCCTCTTTGTACTTGAGGGTTGCCTTCTCATTAGTTGAGAGAGAGAGAGAGAGAAAGATAAGGGTTTTAAAGGAAATCACAAATGCCTTATTTTAATTTTAATTCTTTATCTTTATTTATATATTTGGTTTTAATTGGGACTCACTTATAATAATAATAATAAAATAATAATAATATAATAATCAACAACAAATAATAGTCAATAATAAATAAGTAAAAAACTTAAACTCTTTGTACTTAAAGGTTGCCGTCTCATTAGAGAGAGAGAGAGAAAGATAAGGGTTTTAAAGGAAAGCACAAATGCCTTATTTTAATTCTTTATTTTTGTTTATATTTGGTTTTAATTGGGACTCACTAATAATAATTATAATAATCAACAACAAATAATAACACAGTCAATAAAAATGGGTCAAAAAATTTAAACCATACTATAAAACAGCTATCGTCATTTCCCCTACAATCGTCTCAAGAATAATTTGAAACATGTGCATTACTGCTCAGATAATACAATAGATTTTATTACCCATAATGCACTATTGACCAGCATATATAGTCAAGACAAAAACACAACACACATGGCCTGAAGATTGCATTTAAGCATGACTGTTGATGCCTCAATGTCCACTTTTATATTTATATACACTGTATCTTTGATATTGAGTACTTTCATCCATAAATATAGCATACCTGAAAACTATAGGTTTTTATTATTATTATATATTTTCACTTAGTCTTATACACACTATACAGCACTTTGCAAAGTAAGTGAACCCCTAAATAATATTAAAAATATTATCTTTTTTTTTTCCAGATAATCAACAAATCTTAAACTATATATTCATTAAGAAAAAACATTTATTAAATGAATTTCAACCATTTTTATTCCAGATTGATAAAAATGTTGCAAGTGGTTGTAATTCATTTAATAATGATTTGTTTTAATGAATTTATAGTTTAAGACTTGCTGATTATCTGGAAAAAAGAGGATTTGTTAATATTATCTTAGAAGTTTGCTTACTTTTGTTCTCTCTCTCTCTCTCTATATATATATATAAATAAATTCATGAATCATTCATAAAAAAAAATATAGATGTTAATGATTTGAGTGGCTAGAATACATCTTCGCAAACAATATAATTAAGATACATCAACCCCGAACCTGTATATGAATGATATGATCCCCGTTTATAAATTCCAGTTGCACAAGGTCTTTTTAATTTTTTTTTTTTTTACAAGCTTTCGTCTGCTCCTACAGACATCCTCAGGTATGGAAATAGATTTTGTTCTTGTTTTTACTTCTCGGTAATAAGAGGACAACGAAAATAGAGATTAATCCGAAAAAAATGCTATGAGAAATGTGTTATTGTTTTTTGAAACGCAATCACAACACTGAGTTTGAATTTAAAGTTTAAGGTTGTGCGTTTTTGTACAAAAAAGAGAATTCTTTTTACTGGTAGATTTTCCGTCTATGTGGCATGAACTATATTGTTCAATAATTACAGTAATGTCACACTTATTATCCGAAAGTTGCACGTTGGATCAGTTATTCAATAAAAGTGACTCACCTGATTTTTTTTAATAGATGTTCTCTTCGCCAATGAAACGAAAGTTGAGCTAAATTCAAAGGATAAGCGATCTAAAATCCAAAAAAGAAGCTTTGAAAGCTCTTTGAATTTAGCAGTAAGTACTGTCAAGCATCCGTTCAGTATAATGTTCTGGGGATGCTTTTCTTTTCATGGAACTGGTTTCTTAAAACCTATTGAAAAGACCCTCAGGAGCGAGCAGTACAAGAGAATTTTAGAGTCTTGTCTGCTCCCTTCTGCTGAAAGGGTGCAAATCGACCCAACCAAGCTCATTTTTATGCAGGATAATGCTCCCTGTCACAAATCCAAATTGATGAAGGAATATTTTGTTGAGAAATAGGTGAGCGTCATGATATGGCCGCCCCAATCTCCTGACCTCAACCCCATAGAAAACTTATGGAGCATTATAAAGTACAGGCTCTCGAGAAAGCAGTTGAGCAACAAAGAAAATTTGATTGTGAATTTCATATCCAAATGGAATTCAATGCTTGGAGATGAGATTTGCCAGAACCTAATCAAGTCAATGCCAAAAAGGGTTGAAAAGGTTATTCAAAATAAAGGAGGACCCATAGATTATTAAATATTTCGAACTATATTACCTATTATAAATAAATTATACCTCTATTATTCTTTATTTAAAGCTGTTCGGTTATGTTTCTATTGATTACTAGTTGCAGGAAATAAGTGAGTCAGTTTTTTTGCACAGTTTTTCCCTAAATCTCATTTATATTCAAAATTATAATTATCAATAGAATACCTTAGAGTGAGTAAACTTTTTTACTAGGTGGTTGGGAAGGGGTCTTTATATTAGTAAGGTTAAAAATTAGTTTGACCCCAAAAACAATAGGTGAAAAAAATTTTAAGTAAAAAAAAAATCAGGTGAGTCACTTGTAATCGAATAGCACTGTGTGTGTGTGTATATATATATATATATCTTTTACTCTATATATAAAAATTTGTTAACCATAGACGTCATTTGTTATTTTATATATTCATAACATTAATTCATGGCATGTTTTTGAAATAATTATTTTCTTTATGTCACTTTTTCATATAAAAATCTATTCATTGTATAATAAAAATTAAAAAAAAAAAAATTTTATTTTCCACTAAATTGTTCAAAATTTGTCGAAAATAAGACACATTTTGTTGATTTTATGACCATGGTCCTGATTTGAATATGAATCAGTATACAAAGAGCTTTCTCAAGAAAATACAACTTGACCATATTGTTAGATATGAAAATGTTAGCAATGAGACATTGATTTATTTGACTTCAAAAGATTTTTAAATGTTTTCAAATGTTTCACATACAACACTTAGAATATTAGTTTTAGCTTAATTATAACAAGAATAGAAGCCACAATTAGTATGACATCACAAGGCAGATAAGAAAAACTGATTAAGTAGACATTTTTGGGATATACAAACCATATATTGAACAAAAAGGTACAGTTCATTTTCATTAGCAGATTTGACAAACCTACAATCTGTTGTTAACTGGGTTAAGAAATGGTTTGTTAAACTTTAATGCCTCCAAAACAAAACTGCCCTCTTTTAATGGTCTGGGAGAGAATATGGCTGATGCTAATCTCCAGGAGAGTGACTCATTATACCTTGAATACATTGCTCGGTCTACTGCTAGGAAAGTTGGTTCACTGTGTTTGACAATTTTTCTTGCAAGAATCTATCTTACATAAGTCTACCATTCATACTGGCTTTGAATATTGATGTCACATTTGGTCTGTTGCTCATGCTATATATATATATATATATATATATATATATATATATATATATATATATAATCTGAATCCTCTTCAAGAAGCGAGAGCAAGATCTAAACGGTCAGCCAATCTAACAGTGATCTCATCTCACAATCCTCACACTTGCTCCATATGTGGCCTCTTTTGTAAATTACTAGCGGGTCTTAAATGCCACTTATCACACAAAATTTCATAACTGAATCAACTAAGCTGTCAGATCGTCATACGCTGAAACTGACAGGGAGTACCTTACATTATATATATATATATATTAGAGAGAGAGAGAGAGAAATTCTTGATAAAATCCAAGCTAATATCTGCAATTTTATTGGTCCAGACCTGGCATCTCAGTCACTTTCCTACCACTGAAAATAGCTTTCATGTACCTTTTGTACAAATATTTTCATGGTAATTCTGATAAACTTTCCTTTATGGTACTTAGACTTTATGAATTTAAGTACAGTACTAAATTGGCAGCAATATTACAGTTGAAATAGTAACTGTAAGTTCTATGCTAACAATTTCTTCCCTTGCACTTCTCACTTGTGGAACTATTCCAGCTTCCCAGTCAACTTTGATCTTCAAAAATTTGAATGCAATGTCATTTGTTATCTTCTGTATTCTTAATTCATGTTCTTTTATTGTTCTCTCTATAGTTTTTTTTTTTTTACATATTCTCTAATACTCAGTAAACTCTTGCATCTTAGTGGCTTTATTGCCTTGCTTGAAGTGAAAAACAAAGAAATCTTGGAAAAGAGAGTCTTCTCTTTAAATGTTTGATGTTATTAGACAATGCCTCTGGTCATCAGTGACTACAACCCCCCATTGTGTTGAATAGTAAGTCACTCATTCAAGCCCTGCCGTCAGGAGGTGATTAGGTCATTCAAAGTCCAGAACACACGGTGCCTGACAGAGAGAATTGTGCAGAGAATGGACGAGGATCCTAACAAAGGGAACATAATTAAAATGTGGAAAAATTTTATTTCAGCATCTCTATTGCATTGGCGGTGCAATGAGCAAGCTAGGAAAATTTATAAAGATTCAAAAACTCATGATGGTAAAAGCTATGGGCCGAATGCATCAATGATTTCACGCGTTTCTCTTGGAGTCAATAACGACAGACTTTGTAAATCTGACAAAGATAGGTTTAGTGGGAAATCAGAATATCTGTGTCGGAGATGTCCACGAGTTGATTGACACTAGTGTCCGGGTCACAGAGTTGATAGAGGACAATTTATTTGAACTGCCTGTCATTGAAGCTGAAGAGGAGGAACCAGCTGACAAAGGAAGAGAGTCAGTAGAAGACAACATTTCAGAAGGATTGACCTTTACCACACTAAATTCTTTCTAGAATTGTTCTCCTTGCCACAGCATTTTTTTTCAAGGGATCAAAAACAAACACCTACTGTTTTAAAATTGTTATAATTTTCTTTGTATTGCGTGTATAGATTTAAATTTTTGTACATTAATAAAAGGATGAATGAGTACATTTTGCATGCATGTTTTGATGTTGAAAACAAAAAAAAATTGAAACAAAATCAAAAAA